ATTGCATTCTCAGATCCCCGACTAGGTTCACATATGTATAGGATTCCCATATCCCCGACTATATATATATATATATATATATATATATATCCATCCATCCATCCATCCATCCATCCATCCATCCATGCATCCATCCATCCATCCATTAATCCATACATGTGACAACCGACCGTAACATACACATATAGATACATAGTTCGAACGCTCGGTCGATATACATATATGTATATGATATACATAGATGTATATATAGGTATTTGTGCGTCGATATATGTATCTATATATGTATATGTATGTGGACATGTCTAGAGATATGTGTGTGTGGATGCATGTGTGCATATGTATAGATATGTATACCGGTACACCGGTACACACACATATGTGTATATATATATTCAATGAACGTATCTGTATGTATCGGCACATGCAAACATAAACATGCGTATCGATTTATACGTGTGTATATATGTGTATATAGATGTATATCGACCGCTCGATATACATGCATATCGAGATGTTTAGGCCTGCGCATAGAGGTACACACAAGTGTATGTCGGCACATACGCACACATATATGTATGTACTGATTGACCGATATATATATATAGAGAGATATATATATATATATACACGTACATAAACATATATCGGTATATGTATATATTACCATGCGTTCGTACTATTGCATAGGTATGTGAATATACATACAACGTTACCTATGCACGAGCATATATATATATATATATATATGTGTGTTTACGCTTACATACATTAAAGTATCGAACTAACATCGGTGTGTAGATGTATCCATGCCGGTATGATCGTGTATACTTGTTTATAAGTGTATACACCTCTCGATCCATCAACATATACATATCTATAGAGAGATCTTTATTTATTTATATATACATATATATATATATATATGTATTGATTATCTGACCGTCGCCGTACTAATCCAGGGGACCCTAGAGGCTTGCAGGGCTTTCGGAAGCAGCTTGGACCCCTCTGCGAGGCTGTTTTGGTGTCTCTCGGGGCTTTTCGGGAGCCTCTTGGGGAGCTGTGGCCTGTTGGGGGCCTCTGTGGGGGTCCTTGGTGCCTCTCGCGGGCCGTTCTTGGGCCCCCTTTGGCTGTCTTGGGCGCCTCTTGGGCCGTCTTGGGGCCCTCTTGGGCCGTCGTGGGGCCCTCTTGAGTGCCTCTTGGGCCGTCTTGGGGCGATCTGGGGGGCGTCTTGGGCCGTCTTGGAGCGTGGGAGTGCGAGAAGTTGGTGATGTTGAAAACGGACGCTTTGCGAAAGGATTTGGGCGATTTTGGCCACGTGGGGCTCGCTTGGGAGGCCTCTTGGGGTGTCTTGGGGCGAACAGGGGGCCTCCGGGATTGTCTTGTGGCCATCGTTGGCGTCTTCTGGCCCTCCTGGCCCAGCTTGGGGCCCTCTGGAAGCCATGAGGAGCCGTCTTAGGCCCTCCAGGCGCGCTCGGGACCCAGCGGCCCCCAGCGGGACGAAGGTCTGGGCAGATCAGTTTTCTATGTCTACAGATACTCATTGCATTAGTAATGCTCTATGCATCGCTATACCTGCATATATAATGCATACATACATACATACATACATACATACATACATACATACATACATACATACAGACAGACAGACAGACAGACAGACAGACAGACAGACAGACAGACAGACAGACAGACAGACAGACATACCAACATACATATATACATACATGTATATACATATATAAATATATATGTATATATGTATGTGTGTGTATTCCTCTTCCTATATTTTTGCAAGCCCGGGCGGGGGGAAAACCCGTCCCCCCCCCCAAACTGGACTCCCGGGATCTGGGGTTTTGGGACCCTCTGGACGGGCCTCGAAGCGGTTCCCGGGCTTCGCAGGGCGTTTTGCCAAGCCTTCCCAGCACACCCAGGGCGATCAGGGGGGTCATCGGAGACGTCCCAGGGACCCCCAAGACATCACAAGAGCGCTCCAAGCGTGACCGACGTGACCTCAAGATGACCCGAGAGGCCCCCAGGACTGCCCCAAAGAGGCCTCCAAGAGCACTCCCAAGAAGGCCCCAAGAGGCAACAATCACTGATTTCCTGACGGTTTTTGGTGAATTTTGGGGTTCTCCTCTTTTCGGCTTCCCGACGCTCCAAGACGGCGATCTTCTGGGCGTCCGAAGCCGCCTGGGAGGCTCCAAAATCGCCCCACAACCATCCGAAAGGGCTTCCAGGCAGTCCAAGAGAGCCCCAAAACGGCACAACACGGGTCCAAGATGGCCCTCGGAGAGCCCCGTGGCGGCCCAAGATGGCCCCAAGACACCCTCCGAAGCATTCCATATCGTGACCCAGTCGTTCAGCGAGACCGCGGTTGGAGGCAGGGTGGCCCGAGGAAGCCCCCAGAGGCCCCCAGAATACGCCCAGGAGGCCTCCAGAAGGCCTTAAGGAAGCCTGAAACAACTTTTGTCAGGCCCCCAGAGGCTCTCCAAGGAGGAGCCTCCGCAAAAAAGAGCTGAGGAGGATGGGGAGAATGCGCAGGGTATGGCGAAAATGAGGAAAAACAAACATGGAGGAAGGATAACGAAAAACATTTTTATAGCGGCGATGCCGGAAAAGGCAACAAGGAGTTATCGCTAAATTGTCGGCTTGGCATTCCTGCTATTCCACTTGCATATCAAGCTTCAAGGACCAAGGTGCATGGCGCGAAGCGCCACTGCAGTCTTGTATGTGTATGTATGTATGTATATATATATATATATATATATATATATAGATGTACATGTGTATATACTTATACGTATACATAAAATGGTGTTGCACTCTGGGTGGTGCTTATTGTGTCCGGTCTCGAGGACCCACTATCGGGCCCCAGGGCCATGCAGAACAGACCGAAGACGACTAGACACCCACAGGGAAGTGGTCGGGAGTCGGGACCTCTGGGGCTGCGGATTGGAAACAAGCACCTCGGCGGACGTCAGGGTTCGAGGGCATGCGAGTTTTGCGTCGGGGAGGGCGAGGGTGGGGTTTCCAGACCTCCGACGTCGTGATTTTTTTGCACACCGTCGACCCCCAGAGGTCTGGACTCCTTCCCCGGGACCGGTTTTGCATCCTGAGTCGTTTTTGACGGTCCCGAGGCCCGGTAAGGGCCCCCGGAGGCCGAAAATAGGGAAAAACCTCCCGTCGTGATTTTTTCACAGTGCGAGGGGGTCTGGGTTGGGTACGAGGGGGGGAGGGATGGAGGGGAGAGTGCAGCCGGGGAGGGGGAGGGAAGGCAGGGACGGGGGCAGAACTGCTGCGCCGACGGACCCTCTCGCCTGGACCAGCTCGCCGGCGGACCGCCTCGCCGACGGGCCGTTCTGCCGACGGACCGCTCCGTCGACGGAGCGCGTTCGCCGACGGACCGCTCCGTTGGCTCGGTCGTCGAGCTGCTGGACCCCCTGCTGGACAGTCTCCCCCGTCCCTTCCTCCTCCCTCCCCAGATCTCCCCCCCCCCCCCCCTCCCCCCCCCCCCTGGTCCCCAGACCCCCTCGCGTCATGAAAAAATCACGACGGAAGGTTTTGTCCTCATTTTCGGCCTCCCGGGCCCTTACCGGGCCTCGGGACCGTCAAAAAACGACCCGGGATGAAAAACCGGTCCCAGGGAATGGGTCGGGACCTCTGGGGGTCGACGTCATGAAAAATCATGACTTCGGGGGTCTGGGTCCGGGGTGCCGCCTCGAGCACCGCGTGAGCCCGGCCTCTTTGAGGCCGGGATCGTAGCACTCACGGCGCCCATCGTGGCGCACATCGCTCGTAGCGTTTATGGTACAAAATTCCGAGGCCAGGATGTGTTCTCGAATGGGTAAATTTGTTGATAAATTAGTGAAGTGAGGAGGCGAAAGCTGCATGCATGGGCGGCCAGGGCGGGGAAGGAAGGTAGGAAGACCAGGGGGCGGCGGGGTGCGGTCGTTGTGGTCGTGGCCGTCGTGATGGCGACCCTGTCCCGACGGAGTAGTCATGGCGAGCGTCGTGCAGGTGATGGCCGTGGTGGTGGTGGCGGTCGTGGTAGTGGGAGCGTCGTCGAGATGGTGGTCGTGAAGGTGGTCGTGTCCCGCTGCAGGGTGGTCGTGGTGATCTTCGTGCTGGTGGTCAAGGCACGTAACTGTGGGTGGTGGCCGTGTTGGTGGTGGTCGTGGTGGCCGTCGCACCGGTGGTCGGAGCGCGCTCGGCAGCGTCTCAGCACTGCCCCCTCTGGAAGGTCCCGCTCGCTCGTCCCCAGAGGCCGCCCAAGCGGCCCCTCCCTCCCTTCCCCGCCCTTCCCCCTCCTCCTCCCGACTCGCTCCTGGGGGGGGGGGGGGGGGAGCGCGCCCCCCCCCCCCCCCCCCAAGAGGAGCCGCCGAGCCGCTGCACCGGGGGAGGCGGGCGCCGCCCGACTCCTCCTCCTCCTCCTCCTCCCGACTTCTCCACCCTTGGGGGGGGGGGAGCGCCTCCCCCCTCCCTCGAATGGAGACCGATCGCCACCACCTCGGACCGATCGTCGACCACTTCGGACTGGTCATCATCAGTCGCGATCGGTCCGAAGCGGTTGCGATGTTTTTGGGTCGCTTCGATCAGGTGTCGATGAAGGGAGAGATCATGAGAGCGCTTCTGGGTGCACTGAACTCCTTTAAGCCGCCCAATGGGAATCTGAAAAATCGGTTGCGATCGGTCCGATCACCGACGGCCGATCATGATCTCAGCTGAACACATGTAAAGCTCGAACGTGGCCATGATCCGTATACGATTCCTATGGGATTCGTATACGATTCCGATGCGATTCGTATACGATTCCTTTGTGATTCGTGCACGATTTCTGGCGTGATTCGTATACGGTTCCAATGTTGTTCGTCTGAGGAATTCGCCAGAACCCTAACAGGGTCTCTTCGGGAATCTTAAGAAATCCCAGCAGACCCACCACTTCCCAGATTCCTGGGAGGGCCTCCTAGGGAATCCTATGAATTCTCAGGGATCTT